GCATATTAAAAATATAGTGTGTCCAAACAATTATTACAAACAGAATACCCATCCACATGCAAAAACAAAACTGAAACTTTTTTATTTTCTTCTGACAATCGCACCTCCTAAAGGAAGAAATGCATCTTGTTCTTGCATTGGAGAGTTCAGTTTGTAACCTAGGACTTGCTTGTCCTCAGTACACAGAAATTAGATCAATCTGATACCATATATATATATTTTAGAAATGATTTGGAAAATATTTGAACACCTTGTCTTAAAATATTTTATTCATCATGTTAAAATAAAACGTTCCATAATCAATTTTTTTTCCTTTCCTTTTCTTTTTTCAATGTTTCCAATTTTTGGGGAAAAACAAAAAAGGCTTCAGGAAAAAAACGGGAAAAAACTGTTTTTTTACTGAATTTTTCTGGGTTTTTTTCCGGGCCTTCACATCTCTAGTCAAGGCCAGTCCTGCCTTCTTTGACTAGCAGCAGCTCTCTAGGGTCTCATGAAAAGATCTTTCAAATCACCTACTAACTGATTGTTTTATAAAAACCGGAGACGCCAAGGCTCAAACTTGGGACCTTCTGGATGCAAAGCAAGTGCTCTACCACTGAGCCACACACACCCATCCCCACCCCGACTCCAGAGCCCAGCCATTCTACAGAGAATGGGATAGAATGAGGCCACTTCCAGTTAGCAGCTAGCAGCCAAAGCCAGGACAACAGAACAACTGGGGAAAGTAGCAGCTGCCGTCATCCTGCTTGTGAGCTTCCCAGAGGCAACTGGTCAGCCACTGCATGAGCAGAATGCTGAACTAGACGGGCCTTCGGTCTGATCCAGCATGGTTCCTGTGTTCACCTTTGCTCCCCCCCTGCCTACCACCCAGACCCTCACACTCTCTTAGCTCACCCTGCCCTTCCAAACGAGCTCAAGGCGGCATACGTGGCCCATCTCTTCCTCCCAAAAGCCTCCTGAGGTTAAATTAGACCTCGAGAGAACAGACAGCCCACGGTCATCCACTGAGCTCCATAGCAGAGAAGCAACTTGAGAGTGATCTCTCGACTGACAGTCCGGTACTCTCTAACCACGACAACACAGTAGCTTCCCATACCGCCATGACTGTGTTGCGACTTAGATGGGGGCCAGCAATTGTTGCGTGGCTTCAGTGAAGAAGATCCCTGCTGGATCAGACCGGCGGCCCATCAGGCCCAGCATCCTGTCTCTCATAGTGTCCTGCAAGGCCAACAAACAGGGCACAGAGTAGAAGAGAGTCCATCTGTGGCAGCCGTTCTATCCCGCAGAATGTTTCTGGGATAGACATCTGGCCAACAACCCAGACGTGCCCTAAGAGAATCCAGCAAAGTTCTGGGCATCCCCCACAAAATTCCCATGGTCTTGTTTTCAGCTGGATGTGGTATGGTGCAATGTAACTGCCACCCCTGGACCTTTCTCCCACTGGAAAGCCAAGGGCCCCTCAGCAGGCAGAAGTGGGCAACTGGCAGCCCTACTCAGAAGAGCCACAGGGACAGCAGCCAGCAGCCGCCGCCGCCACCCAGACAACCGGTGGGCAACCGCTGGAGCGAGATGAGTGCTTTAACAAAATGCAGTTCTGTGTTTTTAGGCTTCTGACATTTAAGGCAGTGGGAATGGCAGGAGTGGGATCTCGTGGGCAATACAAGAAGTCGTGGGCACTCCATGGAATTGCTGAGCGGTCGGGTTAGAACGGATAAAAGGAAGTACTTCTTCACCCAAAGAGTGATTAACACTTGGAATTCACTGCCTCAGGAAGTGGTGGGTGCTACAAGCATGGACGGCTTCAAAAGGGAATTGGATAAGCATATGGAGCAGAGGTCCATCAGTGGCTATTGGCCACAAGGTATAGATAGAGACTCTGGGGCAAGTGATGCTCTGTCTTCTTGGTGCTGGGGGGGGGGGTCAACAGTGGGAGGGCTTCTAATGTCCTGGCCCCACTGTTGGACCTCCTGACGGCACCTGGTATTTCTGGCCGCTGTGTGACACAGAGTGTTGGACTGGATGGGCCATTGGCCTGATCCAACATGGGCGTCTCTTATGTTCTTATGTTATGTTATCTGGAGAAGGCTCTGACGGGACAAAGGCAGCATCACAGGAGTGTCTGGGGTTGGGGCTACCTACCCAGGGAGCAGTGACAACGGAGCCTCTGGGGTTAGTGCCAGGCTAGGACCTGGGAGATTCAAGATCGAACCTCCACTTTTCCACGGAGCTCCCTGGATGACCTTGGACTAGCTACACATACATCCTAATCTGCAACACGGGGCAGTTAGGAGGATGAAACAGAAGGGGGGGGGAGAATACCCACAACCCTGAGCTCCTTGGAGAAACAATGGGATAAAAATGTACTACATAAATAATAGATGGCAATGCGACTGAGAGCCTGTGCGGGTGAGCAGTTAAGAGTCAGACTAAATCCTTGCATGTACGTTAAAATGAACATACACACACGTTCCACTAGTGTGTGAGAAAGAAAGAGCCGGTGCACATTCACTTTTAAAATACAACTGGGAACAAGTTCCTGGAAAATGCAAGGCTTGATGCATGAATTAAGTCAAACATAACGAGGGCCGACACGGTGCAGTGGTTAGAGTGCAAGACTAGGGTTTGGGAGACTCAGGTTCGAAGGAACATCGAAGGATCCACAGCTTAGAGGGAACATTGCCTGTGAGGTAGGCAGGGCTGAGGGAGCTCTTGACAGAAATGGCTCTTTTTCAAGGACAGCTCCTATCAGAGCTACGGCTCGCCCAAGGTCATCCAGCCAGGTGCAAGTGGAGGAGTGGGGAATCAAACCCGGTTCTCCCAGATTAGACTCCGCGCACTCAACCACCACACCAAACTGGCTCTCCTACACCAAGCAGAGCATGGCTTCATTTTAGAAGCAGACACATACTGCCATTCTCTTTTTTTCCTTTTAAGGAAGAAGAGATTTTGGAACACTGATGGAGGATTCAACTATTCCGATAGCTTCCCAGTACTTCTGAGCAAAAAGGCACTGAGACTGCCGTTCTCCACGACGACGGGGGGCACACGGAACCCACACGCCTTGCCCAAAGCCACTCAGAGGACCAGCTAAAAAGGATACAGAACGGTCGTTCTGGATGCCACGAAAAATTCAGTTGGGCTCATTTAACAGTCCTGTGTCCCAAAAGACCCCCAGAAAGGCCCTCATCCATCTCATTTCCCCCGTCCCCCACTCTGGATTTTACTCACCGGCCACCAGAAAGCGAGCAGACTCTATTAACTCAGGTGGAAGCGTAACCGCTTTGAGGTGGACAATCCCGGGGTGCTTGCGGTGAGGAACGTTGCCCAAGAAATCGGAGGAATTATCCACTTGGGTGACCTTGGGAATGACAGTCGCCATGCCCTGAGGAGGAAAGAGACATGAAAACAGAGGCATAATGGCTAAGAAGCAAAGCGGGGGGGGGGAGTGTTCCCTCTAAGCTGAGTTAGTGTGAGCTAGCTCACAGTTTGTTAGCCTCCGGCTCACACCTTTTTGTCTTAGCTCAGGAAGGAGGGCTCCGGAGCAAACTAATTAATGCAGTAGCTAAATCGCTCACTCACAACTTAGAAGAATTTTAGTAGAATTTTTGCTCACAAGACTCCACAGCTTAGAGGGAACATGCTGCAGGATCGTCGTGGCTAATGCTCCGTGTGACTGCAGCCATAATAGAGCCCTAACCAATGTTCCCTCTAAGCTCTAAGTCTCGTGAGCAAAAATTCTACTTTGTGAACTACCGGCGTTAAAGTGGTGAGCGAGTGAGCGATTTGGCTGCTGCCTAAATTAGTTTGCTCT